CAATGATATCAAAACCTCAGCTAGGATAATGGTCTTGTATGGATGAATGGGATTCCTAGCCACTTTTGCTTCCAAACAGAACAGAGCAGGTGGGAGATGTCATTTTTCCAGAAATTTAAACACACGTTTTTCTTTGTAAATGTCAGTTTTCCTGTAGTAGGTTGTCTACATCATAAGAATGATGTAGACATCATTCACCTCTTTGGACATACTGGGGTTTATTTACTAAACCTGGTTGACTCAGAATTTTGGGCACCTGTGCATGGTAGCCAATCAGCTTCTAACCTCAGCATGTTCAGTTAAGCTTCAGCAATAAAACCTGGAAGCTGATTGGTTTTTTATGCAGAAGTGGACAAGATTCTGAGTCAACCAGGTTTAGTAAATAAACCCCACTATGTACGTTCAGAGAGTGAAGGGTTTAAAACAAGCTCAAGGCTGTAGTACCAGCCATGACCTGGTATTTGCTCTCCTAGGCCTGCTCCCGAATCTGATGTAAAAGCAATCTGGGCAGCTGTATATATGTTAAAAATCCCTTGCCTATTAGCCTATAAAGTGGTCACTACTGTTTTTTAACATTAATTTTTGATTGACTTCAGTTCATATTCTGCATCTGAACTTTATTGATGTTTGCTGAACCTGTATTGAACCAAACCTAGATATGTTCAACTCATCCCTACCAGTTAGAAGGCCTTTCAAATTCTAAATTAGAGCAGTGGGGACAAAGAAGGTAACAGGTCATTAATAAACATATGAAAAATAGTTTGTAGACTATAACTTTCTACATTCTAAATGATAAATACTTATTTGGGTTTATCTTTAACCAAGGAAATGGAGCAGAATGCATTTTGGCCTACATTTATGAAGAAATAATATTTATTTGCAAAGTTTTATAACAGAAACTAAGAATAACTGTTTTTTTCCAAAACATTTAGTTTTAGTCAGGACAGGAAAGGTGTTTAATATACCAGTCTTTGAAATAGTTAATGTGTACCTAAATGCAAAACTTTTTTTTTTATTTTGAACAGAGCGGAAAGGGATTACACCTGTCATTTTTAATTGCCCCTGTTAGAGAGAGTCGCACTTTCTATCTGTCCTGTTTACTGTTACCATAGAAAGTGAAAGTAAAGGAAAATCCCAAATTTTAGATTGATGTCAGAATACTACCAGTGATGAAATCTTCCAATGGGCCCACTAGCTCTGGTGACCTTGGTGACATCCTGGGATTCCCTCACTTTGCATGGATTTCTTCTCACTTCCTGTTTTGGCTATGGGATAGAAAGTGAAGAGAAAGCTCCCCAATGGAATGCATATGGCAAAAAAAAAAAACTGACAGGGGTTATAACCCCCCCTTACTCTATCCAACATCCCCCAAAAATATTTTGCCCTTAGTTACACTTTAAAAACCCCCCAAAAAAATAAATAAACATGAAAGCTAAGTGTCAGCTAAGTTTCATGCACGTTGATGTTGGCTTACACAAAAGTTGTGTCAGGACATGCCAGAGGTTACAGGAAATATTTGAAATCTATTAGATATTTTGAAGTTTTGGAATTCTATTCTATTCTGGTTCATGCCCCTATTCTTTTGCAATAAGTGATTAATAGTCACGTTGTAGCACAAAGTAAGATAAGTTTAATACTTACATAAGGGATTGGTCACTAAAGACACAGAAGTTGACTTTGTGATAAGCTATGTCCTATTTCAAATGAAGATATGTGTAACTATATGAAAACAAGACTTCAATACTTTATATTTTAGCCTTGAGATATTTTTAATATACAGTAGACAGCTGCTTGTACAGGAAACTGCAGGAAAACTATTAGAGAATGTTTTTAGGCTGAGGTTGTGAGCTTCTATAAACCCCTATTACAATTCATCTAAGTCCTAACACAGTGGTGTCCAACTTAAAACACAAAGGCCACATTTGTATACAAGAGTCGAGTGGAGGGCCACAACCAAAACAAATTGGGTCTCGTTTTATTGTGTATCTTTGTTGCTCCAAGTTTAGGGCATTTCCTCTTATCATGGTAACCCTCTTAGCTATTTTGTCCATCATACACTTACAGGGAAAACACAGCTTCTCATATTTCCACATGTTCCACATTTGACCAGCTCACCTTATTCATGTGCATCACTTTTTCTGATGTAGCGCAACTCCTGAAGGAACCGCTTGTATGTTTCCCCGGTTTCCCCTTACTTCGCCCTGCAGCCAGGCACAGTGTATTTCTTCTGCCAAATACACACACACACTTTCACTCCTTGTCTTCAATGACCAGTCTAGGGGATGTTTGCTTTTGGAGTTTATTGTAGAACTGGGGATATGGATGGAGAATTGTAATAGGATATTCCAAATCAGAACTATTCCCTACTAGCCAGTGTTCCCTTTTTTTCCAGACCCACACTGACTATCAAGCACCAGGGGAGGTAGCAATTCCTCAATGTCAGTACTCACAAGCCCAAGGACAGAATAGTTGCCTCCTTCCAAATGTCTGAGCAAAGCCCTCCTGTGATACCAGACAGAGCTTTGGTAGACAGCTCCCCTCAGGCAGCTTACTGAAGAACCAGGGTCACTCTCTGTAACTACAGGCCCTCAAGTTGTCAGGAATGGACTCAGCACTGGTGGTGGGACTCACCTGCCGTGTGGGCTGCAGTACCAGGGCTGACCAGAGGGTGCTCTCAGCAACCAGAAGCTCACTCCTGCAGTCAGCCATCAGCTGAAGCTGATTGCAGGATGTGTATTTAAGTAGGACCAGGCCTGTGATCAGGGCCTTGGTGTATGTTTCCCATGAGCCCCTGTACCTGGTATCCTGTGTTCCTGCCTAGTTGCTGACCCTGCTTTGATCCTGACCTCGGCTGACCATCTCCTGTTGAACCCCTGGCTTTCCTGACCATCCTTCTGCCTGATCCTCTGTACCGTGCTGCCCGTGAGTTACTGAACCCAGCTTGTGACCCTGACTATTCTCTGTCTGCTCCTCCGGTACCTCACTGCCCGCATGTTGCTGACCTGGCCTGCCTGACTACGCCTGACGCTACCCAGACGATCCATCCATCCCGCACGGATCCAGTCACTACTGTCCAAACCTGCCAGCCCCTTCACATCAGGCTTTCCCCCGGTACATACCCTCGGCGGACCCCTCTACCACAGTTGGGTGCACTCAGGGGCCGCGGCCTGGTCTCAGTCCTGCGCCAAGTCCATCCCCACCATCAGGGGCTCTGGTGAAAAGGCAGACTGGGGCTTAGACTCCGCGCCCTGGGGAATCCTGTTCTGTGGGTCACTAGAGATCCCACCGGGCGGTGCCTGACAGTACCTTACGGCCCGCCTGACCATTCCACCTCTCCAGCCTGACTACGCCTGTGTTCCTGAAGTCTGCTACTTCCCTGTGTCAATCCACACATTTCTGGTCATACCCGGATCCCTAACACAAGTCAACCCACCTGAGGCCACATGGCAGCAAGTGGCAGCCTGCCTCCAGCCTGACCGGTGCAATCCACTCCCAAGAGACACTGCACACATGTGCCCTCAGAACATAAATACCACTTCCAGCATGCAATGGGACTGCCTTCCCTTGAAATTGTCCAGGGCTGTATCCATAATCATGCTGGTAATTTGCCTAGGCCCCCTCCTATGTTTTGGAAGGTTCTCATAGCTTCCTGAAGGTGGGTAGAACTCAGACAACAACTCCAACACCAGACCAGCATGAGCAGACCTAACTCATCAATCACAGCACTTTGTTAATCAGAATACCACACTGAATTTACCTGACAGGCTCTCTGGTAAGCAGAGAAACACAGCTATGCTTAACTTAACTATACACATCCTAGCACCTGACTAGGAGGGTGCTACACTGACAAAACTGGAACCAATGGAATCAATCCCAAATTGCAGCTCTTGAAACAATTATGTTTCTTAAAGATGTTTCCCTGCATAGAAAACTTTAAATATTTACCTCTTCTGTTTAAAAAGAAACAGCAACCTATACCTTCCAACTTTCTGAGATGGTATCAGATGGTTATCCTTTTAGTACAATTTGTGTTGGTAAATGACACACCTTCTGACACACCCCCACTTAAATGAAACAAGAAGAATTACAAAGGAAAAAATTTTAGTTTTTTTATCACTATGATTCCTTTGTATTAAACTTTCAACATAATAATGTGATCATAAAAAGGTCTGTGTAAAAGGTTTAGTGTGGTGTAACACTTTTTATTATAGAGGTCTACGCATCTGTTCAAAAAAGAGGGACAACTGAGAAGGGAAGAGAGAGAGAGGGATTTGATTTCAAAAGATGGACCATGCCTACAAGTGAAGGACAGTTGGGAAGCCCAAGGACTCTTCCGAAACTAACACTTCTGGGAGTACAGATTCTTGGTCCCTTGCCGTTTATAGTGATTCACTCCACTAACCCCCTAATTTACCTTTGTGTCCTTAAATGATACAGTATAGGGTTCAACAGGGAACCAGAGAATGTAGAAGGGGGCCAGGAAATCAACACTCACAGAAGTGTTCGTTTCTGAAGAGCCTAAAGTGTGGAGCGAATATGGAGCGGCCGTCCTGGTATCCCTCCCATGTTAGAATACCAGGCTGGCTGCTTGGCTCTTTGCAGACCTCCAGCGGTCCAACCTGTTCCTCAGTCCAGCTGTGTCCTCAGTCTTCTTTTCCCCGGTGCCGGCATGGGCACCCGGCTGTGACAGCTTGCAGCTTCACAGCCGGGTGCCCACTGCGCATGTGCAAGAAGCGATGCACTTTGTGAATGGCCCTGTAATCTTCTGGGACCTGTCACGTGTCCCAGAAGATTACGAGGAGGGAGGAGGAAGGACAACTCCACGGAAATGGGAGTGGGTATCTGTCATATTGGGTACCAGCTCATCCCCTCTGCTCCCCAAAGGTCTCTGGTCATCTCCTGTACTATATCTGCAGTCTCTGGTCATCTCCTGTACTATGTCCACAGTCTCTGGTCATCTCCTGTACTGTGTCCGCAGTCTCTGGTCATCAACTGTACTATGTCCGCAGTCTCTGGTCATCTGCTGTACTATGTCCGCAGTCTCTGGTCATCTCCTGTACTATGTCCACAGTCTCTGTTTATCTCCTGTACTGTGCCTGCAGTCTCTGGTCATCTCCTGTACTGTATCCGCAGCCTCTGGTCATCTCCTGTACTGTGTTCGCAGTCTCTAGTCATCTCCTGTACTATGTCCGCAGTCTCTGGTCATCTCCTGTACTATGTCCGCAGTCTCTGGTCATCTCCTGTACTATGTCTGCAGTCTCTGGTCATCTCCTGTACTGTGTTTTCAGTCTCTGGTCATCTCCTGTACTTTGTCCGCAGTCTGGTCATCTCCTGTACTATGTCCGCAGTCTCTGGTCATCTTCTGTACTATGTCCGCAGTCTCTGGTTATCTCCTGTACTGTGTCCGCAGTCTCTGGTCATCTCCTGTACTGTATCCGCAGCTCTGGTCATCTCCTGTACTGTATCCGCAGTCTCTCTGGTCATCTCCTGTACTGTATCTGCAGTCTCTGGTCATCTCCTGTACTGTGTCCGCAGCCTCTGGTCATCTCCTGTACTGTGCCCGCAGTCTCTGGTCATCCCCTGTACTATGTCCGCAGTCTCTGGTCATCCTGTACTATGTTCGCAGTCTGGTCATCTCCTGTACTATGTCTGCAGTCTCTGGTCATCTCCTGTACTATGTCCGCAGTCTCTTTTTATCTCCTGTACTGTGGGTACCAGCTCATCCCCTCTGCTCCCCAAAGGTCTCTGGTCATCTCCTGTACTATATCTGCAGTCTCTGGTCATCTCCTGTACTATGTCCGCAGTCTCTGGTCATCTGCTGTACTATGTCCGCAGTCTCTGGTCATCTGCTGTACTATGTCCGCAGTCTCTGGTCATCTCCTGTACTATGTCCGCAGTCTGGTAATCTCCTGTACTATGTCTGCAGTCTCTGGTCATCTCCTGTACTATGTCCGCAGTCTCTGTTTATCTCCTGTACTGTGCCTGCAGTCTCTGGTCATCTCCTGTACTGTATCCGCAGCCTCTGGTCATCTCCTGTACTGTGTTCGCAGTCTCTAGTCATCTCCTGTACTATGTCCGCAGTCTCTGGTCATCTCCTGTACTATGTCTGCAGTCTCTGGCCATCTCCTGTACTGTATCCGCAGCCTCTGGTCATCTCCTGTACTGTGTTTCGCAGTCTCTCTGTCATCTCCTGTACTATGTCCGCAGTCTCTGGTCATCCTCCTGTACTATGTCCGCAGTCTCTGGTCATCTCCTGTACTATGTCTGCAGTCTCTGGTCATCTCCTGTACTGTGTTTTCAGTCTCTGTCATCTCTGTACTTTCCCGCAACTCCTGTACTATGTCCGCAGTCTCTGGTCATCTTCTGTACTATGTCCGCAGTCTCTGGTTATCTCCTGTACTGTGTCCGCAGTCTCTGGTCATCTCCTGTACTGTATCCGTCCAGCCTCTGGTCATCTCCTGTACTGTATCCGCAGTCTCTGTCATCTCCTGTACTGTATCTGCAGCTCTGGTCATCCCCTGTACTGTGTCCGCAGCTCTCTGGTCATCTCCTGTACTGTGTCCGCAGTCTCTGGTCATCCCCTGTACTATGTCCGCAGTCTCTGGTCATCCTGTACTTGTTCGCAGTCTGGTAATCTCCTGTACTATGTCTGCAGTCTCTGGTCATCTCCTGTACTATGTCCGCAGTCTCTTTTTATCTCCTGTACTGTGGGTACCAGCTCATCCCCTCTGCTCCCCAAGGTCTCTGGTCATCTCCTGTACTATATGTGCAGTCTCTGGTCATCTCCTGTACTATTCCGCAGTCTCTGGTCATCTGCTGTACTATGTCCGCAGTCTCTGGTCATCTGCTGTACTATGTCCGCAGTCTCTGGTCATCTCCTGTACTATGTCCGCAGTCTGGTAATCTCCTGTACTATGTCTGCAGTCTCTGGTCATCTCCTGTACTATGTCCGCAGTCTCTGTTTATCTCCTGTACTGTGCCTGCAGTCTCTGGTCATCTCCTGTACTGTATCCGCAGCCTCTGGTCATCTCCTGTACTGTGTTCGCAGTCTCTAGTCATCTCCTGTACTATGTCCGCAGTCTCTGGTCATCTCCTGTACTATGTCTGCAGTCTCTGGCCATCTCCTGTACTGTGTTTGCAGCCTCTGGTCATCTCCTGTACTGTGTCCGCAGTCTCTAGTCATCTCCTGTACTATGTCCGCAGTCTCTAGTCATTTCCTGTACTATGTCCGCAGTCTCTGGTCATCTCCAGTACTATGTCTGCAGTCTCTGGTCATCTCCTGTACTTTGTCTGCAGTCTCTGGTCATCTCCTGTACTATGTCCGCAGTCTCTGGTCATCTTCTGTACTATGTCCGCAGTCTCTGGTTATCTCTTGTACTGTGTCTGTAGTCTCTGGTCATCTCCTGTACTGTATCCGCAGCCTCTGGTCATCTCCTGTACTATGTCCGCAGTCTCTGGTTATCTCTTGTACTGTGTCTGCAGTCTCTGGTCATCTCCTGTACTATGTCCGCAGTCTCTGGTCATCTCCTGTACTGTGTCCACAGTCTCTGGTCATCTCCTGTACTGTGTCCACAGTCTCTGGTCATCTCCTGTACTATGTCCGCAGTCTCTCTGGTCATCTCCTGTACTATGTCCGCAGACTCTGGTCATCTCCTGTACTATGTCCGCAGTCTCTGGTCATCTCCTGTACTATGTTCGCAGTCTTGTCATCTCCTGTACTATGTCTGCAGTCTCTGGTCATCTCCTGTACTGTATCCGCAGCCTCTGGTCATCCCCTGTACTGTGTCCGCAGCCTCTGGTCATCTCCTGTACTATGTCCGCAGTCTCTGGTCATCTCCTGTACTATGTCTGCAGTCTGGTCATCTCCTGTACTATGTCTGCAGTCTGGTCATCTCCTGTACTATGTCCGCAGCCTCTGGTCATCTCCTGTACTATGTCCGCAGCCTCTGGTCATCTCCTATACTATGTCTGCAGTCCTCTGGTCATCTCCTGTACTATGTCTGCAGCCTCTGGTCATCTCCTGTACTATGTCCCCAGTCTCTGGTCATCTCCTGTACTATGTCCGCAGCCTCTGGTCATCTCCTGTACTATGTCCGCAGCCTCTGGTCATCTCCTATACTATGTCTGCAGTCTCTGGTCATCTCCTGTACTATGTCTGCAGCCTCTGGTCATCTCCTGTACTATGTCCCCAGTCTCTGGTCATCTCCTGTACTATGTCTGCAGTCTCTGGTCATCTCCTGTACTATGTCCGCAGTCTCTGGTCATCTCATGTACTATGTCCCCAGTCTCTGGTCATCTCCTGTACTATGTCCGCAGCCTCTGGTCATCTCCTGTACTATGTCCGCAGTCTCTGGTCATCTCTTGTACTATGTCCGCAGTCTCTGGTCATCTCCTGTACTATGTCTGCAGTCTCTGGTTATCTCCTCTACTGTGTCCGCAGTCTCTGGTCATCTCCTGTACTGTATCTGCAGCCTCTGGTTATCCCCTGTACTGTGTCCGCAGTCTCTGGTCATCTCCTGTACTGTGTCCGCAGTCTATGGTCATCTCCCTGTACTATGTCCGCAGTCTCTGGTCATCTCCTGTACTATGTCCGCAGCCTCTGGTCATCTCCTGTACTATGTCCGCAGCCTCTGGTCATCTCCTGTACTATGTCCGCAGTCTCTAGTCATCTCCTGTACTGTGTCTGCAGCCTCTGGTCATCTCCTATACTGTATCCGCAGCCTCTGGTCAATCCCCTGTATTTGTCCGCAGCCTCTGGTCATCTCCTGTACTGTGTCCGCAGTCTCTGGTCTTCTCCTGTACTGTGTCCGCAGTCTCTAGTCATCTCCTGTACTATGTCTGCATCTCTGGTCATCTCCTGTACTATGTCCTTGTCAAGGTCCTACCTTTTCCCTGAGGTTATGTTACTCCATGTGCTGGCGTCCATCTTGGATATTGCTGTGCATGATGGGAATCCTTTTATGCCTTCAGGTCTCTGTGGTCCATCCCCCAGAGGGGTGTGGCTGATGACATATAAGCCTGTGGCCCGCACATGCTCTTTGCACTTGTGTCTTGTGTCTTTGTGTTGCTATTACTCTGTTCTGACTCTCGTGACTCTCCTGGTATCTGATTCGGCTTGTGACTTGACTATTCTTTGTATTCTCCCTTGATCTGACCCTCTGTTGCTGAACCCGGCTCGTGACCTGTGATTCTCGTCTGCTGTCCTGTACTGTTTTGTCCTGTTGTTGTTGACCCAGCTTGTCTGACTACTCTTTTGTCTCTTCCACCAGCTACACGCCATTGGCGGCGGCCATTGCCGCAGCTGAGGTGTCTCGGGGGCCGCGACCTGGTTCCTGGCTGCGTCAAGTCCATCCCCACCATCAGGGGCCCTGGTGAAGGGCAGCCTGGGACTTAGACTCCGCGCCCTGAGGGACTTCGGTCTGTGGGTAGTGGTTGTCGTCAGTCAGGGCGTTACATTGTTCGGCCTGCCTGTCCGTTCCTCGGCCCCTGCCCTGACATTACACAAGTGCCATGAACCCTGACGGTGCAGGCACGCCTTCGCTCCCAATGCTAGTCGCCAGACTCGATCAACAGGATCACCTGTTGGATCAGTTCGCTCAGGCGTTGCAAACCCTGCTTGCACGCACTGTACACCTTGATCCTGGTGCTATTAGGCCGGTGGTCACTCCGGTGGTCTCTCCCGCAGCTTCTCCGCCTATTGCGTCCACCACCTCGACGGCTGCATCAGCGGCGCCCAGAGGTATGACTGGTTCAGCCCCTCTTCCACAGTGCTTTGGGGGTGAGCCTAGTCAGTGTCGTGGGTTCCTCAACCAGGTGGGTATTTATTTTGAATTAATACCCCACTCCTTTCCGTCTGAGAGGTCAAAGGTGGGGTTCCTAATTTCCCTACTCTCAGACAAGGCCTTGGCCTGGGCAAATCCCTTATGGGAGAGGAACGACCCGGTGATTCAAGATTTTTCCGGTTTTGTCGATGCCTTTCGTAGGGTATTCGACGTACCGGCTCGTTCCGCCTCGGCGGGCCAAACTGCTCATGACCATGCATCAGGGTTCACGGACCGTGGCCAAGTACGCTATAGAGTTTCGTACCCTGGCGGCAGAGGTCGGTTGGAACAATGAGGCTCTGGTGGCTGCGTTTTCCCATGGTCTTTCTGACACATTGAAGGACGAGATTGCAGCTAAGGAACTGCCTGTGGTGTTGGAGGAGCTCATCTCTTTCCTGATCTGATTGACACCAGGCTCAGGGAGAGGCCTTCACTCAGGGAACGCCTGCGGAGGTCTTCCAATCGACTGGCACCTGCGTTTTCTGTCCCACCCGTTCCTCCCTCTCCTCCCACGCCTCCTGGGGATAGCTTGTCTGGTGGGGAACCCATGCAGCTGGGGTTTGCTCGCCTTTCCGAGGGGGAGCAGGCTGCTCGGCGTCGGGAGGGTCGCTGCCTGTACTGTGGCCTCGGT